TATAATTTATATCTATATTTTTTAATAATATATTAATATATATTATAATTATAATATAGATAAAAAAAATAATTTTTAATAATAAATATTATCATTATAAAATATATTTTTTATAAGATAATTTTTTTTAAGTGACGGTTGAATTAATAAAATAGTTATATTCATAAATTTATTAAATAAAGTAAGTGAAACAGGTCTTCCCCCTAAAATAAATGTACATCTTCACCATCTCTCATTGTGGATACATATATACCCGTTAAAAAAAATTATAAAAAAAATTCCAATGTGGTGTAATACATATTTTTTTAATTCACTTATTTTATTTTGACCAAGTAATCGTACTTTGGAGTGCTTTTATTAATTTATTTCGGATTAATAGATTTTCCTATATTTATTAAAAGTAAACTTCTTAATTAACTATAAAAAAATATTTAATGATTTAACACTTTCCTTTTGAAATAATTAACAATATTTAGTATAAATACTATTGAAAATTTTCAGTAATATTATCATTTAAAAAATGTTATCATTTTATTATTGTGGAGTTTTTAAGTTTAATTTTAATATACAAGTAAATCGTCGATTTTGATTCCTGAATTTAAACACATTGTCGTATTAGTTTTTAAAAATTAAAAAAATAAATAAATAAACTCTTAAAAGTACTAATTAACTTCTATATCAGTTGAAAATTAAAAAATATATAACTAAAGGTAATAATATTAATATACATTTAACTACTAAAAAGATTATAAGTAGTTAAATTTAGAAATTTATTTGATATTTTAAATACTTAATTAACATTTTTTAAATTTTAAAGACCAATACAAAAGTATTTATCACTTTCAAGAACTATAATATTTTTTACTCTTTGATAATATTATATAATATTATTTTTGTATTTATTTATTTACTTATTAATTAATATTTTTTATAATAAATAAAATGATAGGAAGAAATTTACATAATGTAAAAATTATTGTACGAACTAATTAAATAATAATTTAAATAAATACACTAATCAATAATTATAATGATATATGATAGTTTAATTGTTTGAGTGACCTAAAATAAATGGTATGATCAATGTTTTAAACCCCGGACCGACCCGGCCGGTCGGACCGGTTGGACCGGAACCGGTGGTCCAGCCGGTCCGAATCTGAAGTTGGATCGGTTATGCAGTCGACCCGTTTCAAACCGGATTGAACCGGTCAATTTTTCAGTTCAACCGGTGAACCGGTGGGTCAAACCGGTTCAACCACTTTTTATTTTTTTTATTTTTTAAGGGACCATAAATCACAAAAATAATAATGAAAATTGAATCTCTTAATGAAAAAACAAGGAGTCTTATTAAATATAACAATGACTACTTGTTCTAATATATTTGTTTGCAATATATACAACTTAAATAACTTTTATAGTATATTATTAATTTTAAATTATATATTTAATAATGCAATATCTATGTAAATATTACATATATTATTTTGTGATATTAATTGCAAGCATATTATATATGTACATATTATTTATATTTTTAATTTGTATTAATATACCGTTTAA